CTCTTGAAAACGGATTGATGAAATCAACTTTAAACAGCTCTTAAACACACTTAATATTTTGTTAAAACACCAAACTTAGATTTCTTGGATATCTGGAAGAAGAGCAGCAATGGGGTATATATAGCACCCCAATACAACAGTAAAAAATAAGTAAAAGACCAAAAAACCCAGTTTGAAAACACAATGGGGTATATATAGCACCCCAATACAATAGCAAAAACATGAGTAAAAGACCAAAAAACCAGTTTGAAAACAGCTGTACAAAACTAGTCGTTGTTGAGTTCTGACAGTTCGGCGGTCGACCGGTCCGGTCGACCGCTAAGCTCAAAAACTCAAAGAATATCAATTTAAAGCTGGCGGTCGACCGATGGAATTTTTGGTCGACCGGAAAAGTCTCTGGAGGTCTCTCGGTTGACCGGTGCGGTCGACCGCGAGCAGCTCAGGAAAATATAACTGGCGGTCGACCGCACCGGTCGACCGAAAACTGACATATAGCATATTGACAGGTTTTGGGGCTGTTTTGAAAATTCATTAAAAATATCAAATCAAATCCAAAAATAGTAAAACTTTGGGGAAAGTTTCTAAATGATGAAATAAACATGTTTAAAAAGGAATTTTTGGAAAATCAATTTTCGTTTGTGAAAACTCCCTATTTTTAAAAAGTGTTCAGAAAACCTGTTTTTTTGTGAACATGAAAATTGACATGAAGCTTGTAAATATGTAATGTTCTTCAATAAGTTTCCATAAAGCGTAAGCACTATCAAAATTAGCAAATTTGTTAGAAAACGATGAGTGAAAGGCACTAATCAAATATTCTAACAAAAGTTTGTTCATGTTAAACAATCTTTTATCATTATCACACCATTTGGATTTTTCCAAGATGGGAATAACATAACCATCCTCAATAATTTCCCACAAATCAAATTGATTAGATTGAACAAAAAGTTTGAATCTAATGCGCCATTGAGCGTAGGGGAAAATATCCAAACGAGGAGCAATATTAATAGCATATCCTAAGCAAGATGAATCATTCATATCCATAGAGATGAAATGCAAGAGGCACAATGTAATCAAAATTAGATTAGCACAAATACAATAACTTGGATCTTTAACTCAAGGCGGTTAGTCCTTAAATCAAAGAGCACCAAGCTCTGATGCCAATTGTTAGACCTAGAGGGGGGGTGATTAGGGTCTTATGCTAATCTAATCCTAATTGGATGCTAATTAAAACTATGTTGATCAATTTTATCTTGCAAGAAGAAATATGATATAGATATGAACAATAATGATGAATAAAATATACGCTAAGCAAAATTATGTTGATCAATTTGATCTTGCAAGAAGAAATATGATATAGATATGAACAATAATGATGAATAAAATATACGCTAAGCAAAACACAAACACACGATATGTTTACGAGGTTCGGTCACCACGACCTACGTCCCCGCTCCTCACCTCGAGGAGATATCCACTATCACAATCCGGTTTGGAAGCCGGAATTTCTACACACTCGGTTTACAAGATCACCGAAAACTCTCACACTACACAAACACTATGCAATCACACTTTACACGCTAAGTGTAAGAACCTAGCCCGTGTCCTCCTCCTCAAGTGCTCGATTACAACCTCTCCCTAGGTTCGTCAATCGACGCCACTCCTATCAATCGACGGCACTCCTATTGGATTCGACCCCGTGTCTTGCCTCACACTTCTCTCGGTGTACAAGTGTATTACAAGTGATTCTCATAAATAAAAGTTAAATACAATGATTTGTTCTCAAATAACAAGTGAGAACGCAATGAAGCTCACACTCACTAAATCACACTCCACAACCCACACTATATGGTATGAAAATATTAAGCTCAACAAGTGTGTGTGATAACAGTGAATGAAACTCAATAGATATAGCTAAATGAAATGAAAATGAAATAACAAGCTATATAAGAGTTTAGAAGACTTCTCAAGCAAGAAGAACAGTAGATGATGATCCCAATGGGATTTGAAGACCACTTCTTGTTGTAGAAAAACTTCTCTTGAAAACGGATTGATGAAATCAACTTTAAACAGCTCTTAAACACACTTAATATTTTGTTAAAACACCAAACTTAGATTTCTTGGATATCTGGAAGAAGAGCAGCAATGGGGTATATATAGCACCCCAATACAACAACAAAAACATGAGTAAAAGACAAAAAAAAACAGTTTGAAAACAGCTGTACAAAACTAGCCGTTGTTGAGTTCTGACAGTTCGGCGGTCGACCGGTCCGGTCGACCGCTAAGCTCAAAAACTCAAAGAATATCTCATATTGACAGGTTTTGGGGCTGTTTTAAAAATTCATTAAAAATATCAAATCAAATCCAAAAATAGTGAAACTTTGGGGAAAATTTCTAAATGATAAAATAAACATGTTTGAAAAGGAATTTTTGGAAAATCAATTTTCGTTTGTGAAAACTCCCTGTTTTTGAAAAGTGTTCAGAAAACCTGTTTTTCGTGAACATGAAAATTAACATAGAGCTTGTAAACATGTATATATATATTGTGCATGTATTATATGTATATAATGAAGTATGAAAGAGCTGTAATCATGAGATAAAAGTTATTGTAACAACGTTTGATGAAAAATCATTTATATAATAGAAAACGTCAAAAATCGTGTTAAGTGTACATATATTGAGCTTAGATATAATCATACAATATATGTAAGTAAACCAAACATATACCTAGGTAAATCCACACAAACGAACTTGAATCTTTAACGCTTGATTGACGTGTGTTGAAATACCTGAAAAGAGAAACATAAACACAAAACTAGATAATATATTAGCGATAAATTGTTTGACAAATCATCATCAAAACTATAGGGTCAACAATCTCCCCCTTTTTGATGATGGCAAACAATTTATACATAAATATGAATTATAAACAGATAACCCACATATGAGCCAAACATGAATAAATCATACATGAAAGATCACATAAACCATATATAAAAAGAATCAATTTATAAACCATATGTGGATTTTTCTCCCCCTTTGACAACATCAAAAAAAGGGAAAAAAGAAACAAATTAGGAGCAACGCTCCCCCTGCATATAAGCACAGATAATAAAAAAGTATACCAAAAGCTCCCCCTGTCAAATTGAATAAATGACATCTATAGAACATATATAGGAGCTAAACAACAATTATCCAAAAAAATCGTAAACAATATATAAATCAAGGAACTCATCATTAGCAACTTATATTCCACAAACAAAACATGAACATTGTTTCAACCATGCATTGATCATAGAAAAGATAAACTAACATAATAAATCACAAATCATCACTTAAGCATATAGAAACAACATGGTTTAGCATAAACATAGTTTGTTCCACAAGATAGCAAACCATACATAAAAAGTCACATAGTTCCACACTAATATAGAGTTATTACACTCAACAAAAAAACGTAGATATCAAGTTTTACAACTCAAAAAGAAACATCACAAAAAGCATGGGAATCAATATAAAAGAACTCCAATAAGCTGCAAGATCAATCATCATCACCATCATCATCACCATCACCATCACCATCAGAAGAGCCTGAGCCATCAGCAGGGTCCTCCTCAGAATCAGACTCAGAACTAGAAGAGGGATCCGGAATCCCGAGAGACTGACGCTGATATGAAAGAATGGTCCTAACATCCCTTCGGATAGTTGAGACTTTCTTCTGAACGTTTGAGAACCGAGTCTCAAGACGATCCAGACGGTCACAAATATCAGAAGAGGATGAGGAAGAAGCTCTAGATCGGGAACGAGAGGATGATGACTGAGTGAGATCAGAAAAGTAAATCTGCATTCTTGAAAGAGAGACCTTATCAAAGAAATCCTTCTTAGATTCAATTTTGGGTTCATTGGTGAGATCAACACCGAAATGTTGAAGGATGAGGGTGATAAAAGAGCTAAAGGGTAGAAATTTGACATGCTTTGATGCCATATTATTGACAAAAACATTTGCCCAATCTACTTTTATTTTGGCAAATATGACATACACAATATTTATCTTGTCAGAAGCAAAGTGATCGAATCTGCCGGCTTTAGGAATCAAGTTTTGAGCAACGATTCTAGCAATGAGTTTGGCATTTGGATTGAGAGAATTGTTGTTCATAGGATAAGAGCAACCGGGCTTAAACATGAGTTGGTTTACAGCTGGATCACCAAGCTCAACCGACATGAGGTCAACATCACCTGTTGGGATTTTCAGAATCCCCGCAAGTTCATTGGCAGAAAAGGAGATTTCAACATTTTTAACAGATAAAGTAATGGTCTGACGACCATCAGCAGAGGATATAATAGACAGGTTGGCATAGAATAAATAAACTAAGAAGGGATAATAGGGAACTTTTTCTTCCTCATCTAACAACGTAGCCAACCCAACATCATGAAGAATTGTGAGAGTGTCATACATGTGGAGGGAACATCAAAAACGCGTTTCTTTGTTTTTGTTGAAAAAAAAACAGAAACATCAAAAACGCCACGGTTGCCAAACGCTTCCTAAGGAATTAAAACGCCACGGTTGCCAAACGCTTCCTTTGGAATTAGTGTTCCCACTTAAGTGGAAATAAATATAAAATTTAAAATACCTTGATTTTCTAGTGATACCCAATCATAAGAATGAGAATGAATATCTTATTTCTGTATTTATTCCATTTTGTTCCTTACTATATTCCACTCTCATTTGACTCGGTCCACTCTAACAAAACGAGACGTAAATATATGTTCATGTGTTTTGTGAAAATCGAGAAATTTATAACATAATAACGAAAATTAGATGTCCACATTATCATTTTCTTACTAAGAGATTTTTCATTTTCTATCAAAATCTTATCCTTTGAGAGAGACTTCGATTTGACAAGCTGTAATTATCATGTGAGCATTTTCTTTCAAGCTTAAAAAATTAACCCCCCAACTTTTCCAATCAAAATCCATCTTGATGTGGATCCGGGTCTACAACCCGAATCCGCAATAAATTCACTCGAAGGGCTCCTCGCTCTCTCCTCCAAACTTCAGCCCCCAACATGTGGAGGGAGCGCGCGAAGACGAAGGCGGCGGCGCTGCTGGCGGCAAAACGATGGCGACGTCAGCCTCCGAAAACCCTAATCACAACGCCGGTGGAGATCAGAACTCTCTCATCGTTCACCGCCTCTTCTCGAAACTTCCCGGGGACGCCAGCTTTCTCATCGCGTCGCCTCTCTCTCAAACCCTTCTCTTCTATCAACCTCGACAGCCATCGAGAAAGAGAAGGAATTGGTAATTTTTGGAAAGTTTTGTATCTGTGTGCATATTTTTTGGTTACTAAAGTTGCTTCAATTTGCAGCGGAAACTGAAGAGGAGGAAGAGGAGAGCGGCGATTGGGAAGAGGAGGAAGAGGCTGATGAGCCCGAGGTACTGAATTATTATTATTGTTGTTTTTTAAAACCCAAACTTTTAAACTGATTTAGGTTAGATACCTTATAGTTTCACTTACTTTGCACTTATATACCCTTGTTTTTCGTGGCATTTATATACCCTAAGTTGTTGTTAAGAATTGACGCGTTAGTACCCTCTATTCTGCAAACATGAAAATTTTATCTGAATGTTTCTATATGGCACTCACATGCTATTTGATTCAAAATGTCATATGAGAATATTCGGGTGCCAATTTTTAACAACTTGGGTTATATAAATGCCACGAAAAACAAGTGAGGGTATATAAGTGCAAAGAGAGTGAACTATCTGATTTATTTTTAAATCACCTACTTGCAGAACCAGTCTTAAGCTCAAATTTTCGTCTTTACTGTTTTCTACAGTTTTGTCTAATTTTCTATATATTTATGTTTAAGTTGCAATATTATGTCTTTTTACATATCATATACAGAATTGACGAATCACACAAACGAGTTCAAAAATAATTCAGTGTGGTATTTTGTGGATCTAAGAATGATTTTGGGAGTGGGTGGATTTCAAAATGAATGACGATAATGCTTTGGGTTTATTTAAAAAAACTCCTCATTTTCTTTACTAATTTTTAGGGGTTTTAATTTGCTTGAAATTTTTGGAGTTGGTTTGATGAACTCTACTGTTGGTGATGTTAAAATGAATTTAGATTGGAGATGGAGGAGATGGAGGCGGAATTGTGCTGAGAGATGTGCCATGGGGTGAAAGGGTACTTTCTGTTGCTCGTGAGGTTGTGCTTCAATTGGGTGATGATATTGATTTGCACGCATTTAAGGTTTCGCCAAAAGGGTACATTTACTTGCGATTAGACAAGCTCACTCACAAGTAAGATTCACTTCACGTTGATCCTACTGAAGCATCTGATTCTATCTCATATTACAATGAGTATTAATCTAATGAAGATTATTTCTCTTTAGCTCACTAAGTAGCTCGGCTTACCTTACATTAGATAACAACTATTGCGATAGCACTGTATAAGTTGGCAACCTGAAATGCTGTATACTGTTAATTTTGTCACTTTCTTGAATTAAGAATTTGATGGTTATTACGTATTAGTTATGTTTAACTAGACAAAAATACCAGCATAGCTTTTTGCAGTGGAAACCAATAGATAGTGCGTAGTTCAGATAGCGACTTAGATGCTCGGATATTGTTTCGGTCTCCTCTATCTAAGCTGGCATATATGTAATCACTGTTTTTCTTTCACTCTAAGTAACAATCATAGTCCTCGTATAGTTTACATGTCTTATGTGGAGTGGAGATAGAATTTCCTGTTACAGCTAATTGACAGGAAATCACAGAGACTGCAATTGAATGAACGCAGCTTACTTCTGAAATTTATCCCTGTGAGTGGATATGTTGAAAATATTAGTTAATGTTTATCTTGGGTCATTCTTTTGTCAATCTATCGAGACAATTAAGAATAAGAAATTGAGAATCAAAACAGTGGAACATCTGGATGAAGAATATCTTCTATTGTAAGATGCATATATCTTCTACTGTGACACTCATATGGGCGGTGAACATAGCTATGCTGATTCTTTGACATGGCTAGTCATTTCGTTAAGAAAGCCACTATAAAAGGTTGCTGGAAGCTTTACCTCTTTAATTCATAATTCTCCACATGACCTTAATCTCTTTGTAGAGATCAGATAGAGCAAGGATGTTATCAATACCCCTCCCTATTGCAAGGAATATCTATTGAATGTTTGAGGCTCTTCTTTTACGACCTTCTACTTTCCTGTTGTTAGTGTATCAGATGAGCAAATATCTGCTTTGTTCTTGAAATTGAAGTCCTGATATTATTGGCAGATGTGAGTATAGTAAGTATATTAAGAGATATGGTCCTATTTTGTATTTTAGGTGGAGGATGTAAATTCATGATTAGGAAGTGAATTAGTGGTGAATTAAAGGGAAGGTTCCTATCACAGCATGCCGTTCTTTATTAACCTCCTTATGCTTGTCAAGGGGCTATCCCATTTGTTACTACAGGATTGCTGTAACTTCGATTGAAGGCCCAAATTCTTGTCTGATTAAAACCCTCAGGAGGATTTAAATTATACTCACGTCCAATTTTGGTTTGAAGGGGCATTAAAACATTTATTGAAAATTTGAAGTAGTTGTACGAAGGTAAAGAAAGTGCTTGTGCTGGTGTGGTGCCATATCTAGTGCCCCATTTGTTGCGGGCTGCATGTAGCTCTTGCTGCAGTGAATTTTGTCAGCATCAAGTAAGTAATTTCCTGCAAAATGCTGAGCAATTTTGGGAAGTGGGAACTTAGCTGTAGCAAATGTGGTCTTTAACGCCAAATTTGTGCGAACAGACTTTCCCTAAAGAAATTTTTTTAGTCTTGCTGTGAAAAGGAAAAAAGTTACCGACTTTTTGAGTTTTTGTTGATTAACTTCTTGTATCCACTCAGCGGTTATGGTTTTCTCGTTTGGCAACTCAACCTATTGTCAGCTTGACTCTATTATGTCTAGGTAAAGTTTCACTATGATCAATGATGATTGAATCACATTTCGTTCTTACAGCTTAACTTGAGTTGAAGAATCATGTTCTTTGCTTTCTTCTATTAATTATGTTAACAGCTAAACTATGCTGAATTATTGCAACAGACGGAGCAAGATGATCAGTATACTTATGTTATAGCCCCATTTCTTCACCGGGTAAGTACCATTAATTGCAGCCATCAGAACTCCCTCACACACATTAGGTATGCCTTTTTTTCTCAACTTCTCAAGATACCAACTAGCCCCTCATATCACTTCTTGCTCAATATCTCTTCCTCTAACCTCGAAAGAACGGGAAATTGGTAAATTTGTACAAGTGCCTACTTTTCCCTTGATATTGTTAGTTTTAGTGGGTCTAAAAGCGTTGAACTGAGGAGGACGAAGAGGAAGGTTGACCCGAGTAATCATGTCAAAAGTTCCTCCATTTTGTGGTTGCAAAATTGGAGTATTTGTTCTGTTAAACTAATGATGTGAACTTGATGGATGTAGTTAAACTGAGGGTGAAGTAAATGGAGTTTGAAATTGTTCGCAAGATCTATCGTAGGGGATGAACAAACACTTGGTGTTGCTAGTCAAGTTTGCAAGGTTGTGCTTCAATTTGGCACCGATACAGGTTTGCATGAATTGTAGATGTGTGTTCTTTTGGTAATTGTCTCCATTGGAGGAGGCTAGAGTATGTTTCATGTGGACCAGACCACCCTTGCTGTTTTTAAGTTGCATTTCGATCACCTTTTCTTAAAATTAAACTAGAATGTGGTACATAAGGAGTCAAGTGCATTTATTATTATCAGGGCCCTCCAGCCTAGCAGATTTGTCGATTGGTTTTTGTTGATGAAACAGTAGAAATCTATTCTCGTTCAAGGACAGAGACTAACATATTATTCCATTCGCCATGATCTCATTGTTCATGGTCACTGAGAATTACAAAGATAACTAGGTGGTGTTTTTTTCAATGAAGACAAATGAAGTATTGCTGGCACTGTTCCTGTTATTTTCTTGTATATAATCATTCAGGTAAAACTCTGATTAGTTGAATGGAGAAATGCAGGTTATCAGTGTATCCGAATTACGATAAAAGAGTGATAATGACATTTTCTTTCTAGTAGACGCTGGTAGAAGTTTATTGGTTGATTGATTTCCTTTCAGATATGGGTGCCCTAGCATGGACGAAATTGAAAGCTTCAGCCGTGCTTACAAGAGAAGACTGGATGAGATCGGAGAGCTCGGAGAGATACCCGATGATTTGGGTCTACAGGCATCATCTTGCGTTCTATGTTTTGCTGTCATTTAGCAGTCGTCAACAGTTTACTTATGTTTTCCTTATTCAGGTTTCATCTCCGGGAGCAGAGCGGCTACTGAGAACACCTGATGATCTTGATCGCTTTAAAGATATGCCAATGTTGGTTTCATACGTCGAAGACAAAACGGACACCAATAACCAAAACCACACCGAAAAGGTTTTAGTCCTCGACTCAGTTGACACGGAGTCGCAACAATGTACTTGGAAGCTCGCGAATGTAAGAGAAAACAGAGACGCTCAGAATAAAGGAAGACCATTGAGCAGGAAACAGAAAGACTGGAGACTGACACTCTCCTTTGAGTCCATAAAGAGAGTAAACTTGTACTTAGATTCCAAAGCAAAGTAACCAAATTACATGTACCTCACCTCACAACACCACTCTTATTACGGCTAATCGCAGATAATTGCAGACGAACTCTCCATGTATCATGCTAGGGATGCAAGTATTTATCGTCCATGTTCTATCTCATTAGCACGTACATTGCTGATCATGTGAAGATCATATGATCATATACTCGCCGTGATATTTCTGTGAAAATTTGAAAAACTAACGGAGAAGTAGCATTAGCGTTGTCCCCATCCACAAATCGTCGGGAACCCTCTATCCTCGTGTGCGAAGACGAAGAAATCTCGAGGGGCTGAACGGGGTCAAGTCGACGATGCTCGACTTGCCATCCAAAACAAGTTCAGCCAGCGCAGCTCCGGTTGCAGGTCCATTCAATATCCCCCAACAACTATGCCCGGTCCCAACAAAGCACCCCTCAACCCCAGGAACCTCTCCGATCACGGGCACCCCGTCCTCCGTGCAAGGCAAGAAGCAAGCCTGCTCCGCCACCACCTCCGCCCCTCCCTCCCTCCTCAAATGGCTCGAAACCGTCCCCGCAATCTTATGCAACATCTCAATCGAACTCCTGTCGCCTACAATCTCTTCCGGATCACCCGGCACCTGAGCCTCACACGACATTCCACACACGTACACCTCTCCGGTCGGCCGGGGGTAAACTTCCGGGTCGAGTGTTCTCGCCACCGGCGAGTCCTGGTAAGAAAGAAACAAGGCGTGAGGGGTGATTGCGTCCGGCTGGGCCGGCCGCAGCACGATGCTGTGGGCCTTCAGCCCGGAGACGGTGAACAGAGAAGAAAGAATCAAGCTCCGCGCCGACCACGGCCCGAGCGCGAGAACCACCGCGTCGGCCTCCACGAATTTGCCCTTCATTTCGACGCCGGTGACCCTGCCACCTTCAACCCGCACGTTAACCACCTCCCCGATCACGACGTCGAGGCCGTATCCTTCCACCGCGGCGTCGATGAGTGTTCTGGTGAACAGCTGTGGAGGGAACACTGTGGCCGTCGTCTCGATGGTCCCGATGGTTCTCGGACCGCGCGGTGGGCCCATCGATCCAAGATGGAAGGGAGCGTCTGATGACGACGGCGAGGCCGAGGGAGGCTTTTACAGAGAGCGGAGAGCCCGTCAGGTGAGGCCGGGCGACTTAGTCCGTAGTTTATGGGGAGGGCCGTCGAGAAGGGATGAAGAGGGAGCGGTGGAGCGCTTGAAAGCTGGCGCGGGCGAGGGAGGAGAGCGGGCCACCGTCTCGCACCAGTCGAGCCGGCCGAGGAATCCGCCGGCTTTTCCGCGAGGCGGCGCAGGGGAGGGCGCGACGGACAGGATTCTCGCATGAGGCGTGATTTTGTGTGTTTGCGATTTTTGGCAGAGGAAGTAGGCCGGCGCAGGGCTTTTTTTTTTTCCGAATGCACCCCGCCGCCTATGACGAGGCATTCTTATGCTTCGGTTGCCGGATTGATGCTGGATGCGGTCGCCATGATCATGGTGGGAGAGGATCGAGCGGGCGAAGGAGGTGGGGAGTGGTTTTGGGGAGTCAGCGGAAATGGGAAGACGAGGGCTGAAGCGATTGAGGGTAAGCTTCTGCGATATTTCTTTATGTTTTGGGCCTAATACGCAAATCCATATCCAAACCCCACCGTTCGAATTTACATCCATCTCTATCCTTAGCGACAAAATTTTCACAAACCACCCTTTTGATTTTTTATTGTAAAAAAACCACCTATTTCAGGTTTATTTTGCCCAAAAACCGACCTTTGCGTTTCAGCGCTCAGCGCTGAACCAGTGGTTGGTTTTTGAAAAAAGTTTTCCGAAACTTCACGCGCGAGTTGCAACTCCCGCTGAAGTTGTAGCCCAGCTTAATTAAAAGCCTGCCTCTGAACTTTGAAAGTTTCACAGTTAAAATTTTTTTTTAGCTGTTGAAACTTCACGGGAGTTGAACTCCCGTGAAGTTTAGCAGCTTAATTAAAAGCTGCTAAACTTCACGGGAGTTCAACTCCCGTGAAGTTTCGGAAACTTTTTTTCAAAAACCGACCTGGTTTCAGCGCTGAGGCTGAAACCAGGTCGGTTTTTACAAATATTTTAAAAATAGGTCGTTTTTTACAAATAAAAAATCAAAAAGATTGGTTTTGAAAATTTGTCCCACTTTTGCTACTCGTGTCATCGGAAGTGGTTGAGAGAGAGTTTCAATACAGCTCTCATAATTTTAGGTTTGATCCAAGCTGGGTTATCAAATAATAATAAAAAAAGCTTGAGGGAAGCAGGGTTGCAAGTCGTATGGGATACGGATCGGATATGATATTTATCATATTCATATATGCTTGATAAGAATACAAATATCACTTGTATCCGTCTTCGCCAAAATCATATATAAATACAAATAAATTAGATGAAAATATCTATGGTGGAAAACGGACGTGAGGAAAAACAAATAAGAACTGCTTGTAATATGCATGGGTCATACGATAAGGGAGAGTTTATTAATATGTCTTGCATATTGGAAAAACTAAGATTAGATCTATGGATCATATGAACTACATCCAATTCTAAATGTGTATCCTCACGATTACTATCAAATCCACTAATCGAATAGTCAAAGCATTTGTAAATGCATAGTTATTTCAGATACGGATCGAACGTTCCATTATCTATCCATTTTTATATCCTATTAGATATACATATTTGTATCCATACTCGTAACGTGCAGATACGGATACTTTTCTTTGCAACCCACAGTATATCATCCAGACTCGTTTCCAAGTGAAAACAGAGGAAAAAAAAATTAAACTCAGGAACCAGTTCGAAATCCATGACCATACTCATCCACGAACAAGTTCGCTCTAAAATAGATGCTTTTGGCTCAACTATCTAGCCTTGTTGAGCAAAATAAGGAAATAAGAGAGAAGGGAAAGGTATATAAAGTGGCATATAAACTAGACGATTGTGATTTAAAATCATAAAACTTGCCATTGTAATTTGCTCTGGCGATTCTTCAAAATCTTAGCACGTTACTTTCACAAATTTGGCGACCATTTCCTTCACAGAACAAGAACTAAGTCCTAATAATTTACAATTTTGAATGTCTCCCAAAGGAACATAAAAGAAAGTGAGGTTCAAGCTTACCCTGTACATTGGATGTTGTTAGGAGTGACCACCTAATACAGAAAAGATCACTTGGGCTCAAGACCTTAAGCCAAATAGTTGTATATCTGCGGATTGTTCTTGTCTCGCTCAAGGTATTCTCTGTCTATAAGGCTCTCGATCCTTTTCTTCAAGTCCGTTGGCTTTATCGGAAATTTGAGCTGAATGAAACAAAAAATAAAAATCCCACAAAAGTGAATACCAAACAATCGTATATAAACATTCGCTAACTGATTTATGTATTTACCTGTTGAAAAAGCTCGGTTATTAAAAGTGTGTGGCTTAGTATTTTCCTTGTCTTCATTATTCGAACAATAGCTGCATCAATCTGCAACAGAACATATCATGTACATGTCAGAAACAAAAAGCTCAAACAAAATAAGTCTATAATTATTTTCCTTTCCTTTTTGACACCCCACCCCCGAACCCAAAAAAAGAAGACACAATTTTCAATTTGATGTCAAGTATTCATCAATTTGGAATTATTACAATCACATGTATGTTTATACTTGAGTGCATATAATTGTCGTATCCGATGACATTAGCTTTTACAATCAAATAAATGTTGTAGAAATTAGAAGCAAATATAGGGGAATATCTCTCAATCATGCAAATGTTAGAGGGGTTTTATCTAATTCACCCTTTTTGAATGAACTATGTGCATAATTTCCAAATTAGGAAAGAAAACAATTCGAAACAAGCCTCTATGGACCAACAAGCATATATACTTTCTTTTGTTTTACAGAAACCACAAGATTTAACAATCGGTTAGTGACACAAGATATATCATAAGAAAAGAACATATTCAAACATTTACATTGTTATACTCTAATATTTTAATCCTGCATGCTTTAGGTGGATCATTTAATAAAAACTTGTAATGCTGCCAATAAATTGTGCAGTAACAATAGTATACATACCTGATATTGACGATCCTGGAATACTCTTTCCGTAGTGCTTGTGTTCTCTTCTATTGTCTCCTTCATCTGAATGGCATTTACCTGAAAATGCAAAATGTTAGCTTGAATTGCAAGTTGACAAGCCCAAACTGTCATCAACTAGAACATTTACCTTGATGCGGTACAAAGGAGCACTGAATTCTTCATTGAATGCAAATGTATCTTCATCCTCTACTTCTCTTCCCTTTGGAAACTATTGGATACCAGTATATCATGATAATAATTCAACTTATGCAAGAAAATTCAGAAGCTATGACAGTTAACAAACCTTTTGGAGCACACGAACTTTGCCACATGCAAGAGATTGCAAAGTCCTCCTCAGCTCTTTATCTTCAATACCCGTGGAGTCCTTAATATCTTCAAAGCTGAGCTTTTGGGTGTCATTGAACAGCATCAAGACAACAGTCTGACAACATAAAGGACCCAAGGAAACTATCAAGACTGAGTAAAATGTGACGTATCTGTATAAAGGAAGATTAAGGATCCACTCACCTGGAACAATGACACTGCCAATTCTTTTTTACCTTTAGGGAAGTCGGCTTTTAGAACACATTGACCTAATGAATTATGCCACATTAACCGTCTCCCACTGTACTTGCTTAAGTAGAACTCCTTAAATATATCCTATTGTATGCAAGCAGAGATTAGAAATTTACAAAATAAAGATAACACAGATTCACACAGAAATAGAATTTAGATAGCTCTAATGATCTAACCTGATAAACATTCAATTCATGAGGAAGCTTAACATCCATGGGTGGGTATGTTGGCCAGTATCTGCAGATGTAACATCAAGCACTAGAATTATGATTAAAAGGGGAAATTATGTTAGCAATATAAGTTGTCCTTATCAACGTATCCGTTGGAATAATCAAATGATAAATACCCACCCAGTCGTTAGAACATGAACACTCATCTCAATGCCAATAGGAAGTTTCATCCTGGCTTGTGATGACTGTTTGAAGGAATCATTTATTTCTTTTGATAATTCAATGTCCTGGAAATGGGTCAGCAGCATGTAGTTATTACAAAGAAAGAACATATAGAACTGCGCTAGTGTAGTGCATTTGACAATATAATAAGATTTAAGAAATAGCAAATTGAAAATCACGGCAAGTTGCTAAAAGGTAAAATACAAGTACAAGGAACAGTGAGCAATTGAAAAACAAACTGCAGCACATAACTAAATATGTCAAATGAAATAATAGATTAAATTTGTTCCTGACAGAAGAATACAAGTAAGCAGATTAAAAAAGGTATGTGGAAGTCTATGACTAAAGATGGTTTTACTTCTTTTGCCCTTAGTTAGCATAATAATTTGTTCTCATGCATGTTTTCAGGACCAAATCCACTCTAATATCTGATACGTATCTTCTGGTGGCTGCACTAATAATATTGCCAGAATCACGCAATATAAATGTCCCTTTTTTTTGGTGAAGCTCAATTTAAGCCAAACATAAGTCATATTCTTGTAAACACTCAGTGTGATATTGATAAGAAAAGAAGATAATCAACTTTTGGCTCTCTGGAGGTTGCAGGCAGTACAGTGGTCACTATTGCCTTTTTATGTATTTATTTTCCAATAACTTGAAGGGAAAACATCTTGATTTTGACAAGATTTTTTTCTCTACCCATCTGAACCAGGAAGGATTATCTTTAATCTCTCATATAGATCCCTATGCCTTTTATATGTCAGTATATGACACTTCAACTGATGTATCTAACATTTTTGTCTTCTGGCATTTCATAATATTAAGAGAATAGTTTTCTTGATATATTTTATTAGCCCAAAACTCATCAGTTTAAAGCAGTGTTCTCACATGTGTTTGTACCATGCATTTACGATGAAGAAACCATGCGTCACTTGTTACCATAAAGTCCACGAATATTCTAGTTTTAGTCATCATTTTTTATCCTTTTTCAGAGAGCTGGTCCAACAGCATAGACGAAGAATGTAACCACAATTATCAACATGGGATACAATATTAATAAAAAAGAGAGAAGACTCGATACCTTGAACATGCCTTCCAGTTTATTAGTAAATTGGCTCCCACACTCAGTCTTGAGCTGAAAAGAGTATTTGCTTCTGGTTAGATATGTCGCAATTTCAGAGATAATGAGCTAGAAGAAATCATTTGAAACAACTTCAGAGATAATATCATTCAATTACTTTTGAGATCATTGACTTTTCAGCATCAATTGAGGCGCTCTTTCCCAGCAATAACCTTTTTGCAAGATCCTTCTTGTAGAAAGCCTCAAAAACATCTTTGCCCTGATTAATGGTGAAACAAAATATGTTGGCCAGTCAGCGTAATTTAAAAGCAGTGTACACTGAAGCACCCAAAATAGAGCAGTGTGTCACAAAGAAAGCTAATCTGATAATTCAAATTGAGTTAAAGCTAAGAACAAGAAAACACATATTATTAACTAAACATCCCATTATATACCTGTATAAATCTGAACAATACCAACACTTTCTCAAGTGTCCTTTCCAACTCTTCCTCAGAAGCACCCTTATTGCCAGCACGAAGTTTCTCATCTAGAAACTTTTAAATTAGTTCAGCAGTTTATTTCTGTTGTATAGAAACACCAAAGACAGATTCATTAGCTCTCACCTAGAGATACTGTTGCTCTAAGGCAATTGACAGAATAGAAGTACAGAATATTGCCACCAAGAAGAGGACAGGCAGCTAGTTATGACAAAGTCAGGTGTTTCCAAGTTGGCGGATGATCAAAATTCTGTGCCAAAACTGTTGCCATCTTACAACTGAACAACAAGCTAAAAGGAAATACAAAACGAATTAAAAAATATGAAGCAGCTAGAAGAGTAAAATATGCAATCTTCAAGCTCTGAATATGTAAACTTGACACTGATTTCTCAAAGCAATAAAAACTCTCCGGTTCATAACAGATCTGTTGAGTATAAAATTAACCCTCAACCAGATAACATAAAAGACTAAATGCCAAGAAAAATCCTGGAGAGATTTGTTACAGGCAAACCAGCTGCTTTGAAGAAAAGCAGAATTCCAGATGCAGCCAGTTGAATATCTCTATTTAACAGTAAACTTCATAAGAGATGGAAGAAAATATAAACTCAGATCTGGTCATGCTACTTTGCCAATTATATACTGTATCTAAAATAAGAGTCTGCTCCACAAAGTCCACAACTTCAGCAGAAATAAAACAGCTTCACTATTAATTTAAAACTATCAGTATCAACCTCTAATAATAAATAGTTCTTGTTAAAATTTTAAGTTCTTTCAGACCTCCACAAATGTTCTCCATAAAGAACCCGCATCGCCCTAAGTAGCCAAAAACAACAAGATACTGAGCGATGAAAAGCGAAACAGAGCAACAACCATGAGAGATTCCAATATATCACATATAATGATTGAAAAGTCAGACAATTCACACTTCATATTACAAAATTTCTCAAGTCTAGATAGTGTAAAGTAAAGCAGATGAGAGCAGCCTGAAGTATATGACATGGGTGAGAGATATAATCTGACCTGCCGAAGATTGATAAGGTGCTCAAATGCATCCTTCATGGTTTGTGCAAACATTTCATTTCTGAAGAAACTCTCTTCCCATATCATGTCAAGAGATGTCTTGAACTCCAAGAGGCAAGCAACCAAATCTTTGTCTTTTTCTTCGTCCATGACAATACCCTGTCCAGTACCGCGGATATATGAACCAAGAGCTTGCTTTAATAACTCAAGAGCATTAACCTTCTGGAGCAGAGTGTACATTCTTTGAAGATCTTCCACACGCTTAGCTTCCATAAGCATTATGAAACCCTAAACAAAAGAGGGGGGGAAACATAACTTAGTCTCTAAAACCTTTGCCATCAGGAACAGTAATGATATACAACCTTGTCAAGGATTGAAGATGCGTGACGTTCAAGAAGCTGCCTTTCGGCAGTTGCTACAAGTGGCTTCCTCGTACTAGCATCCAAGTATAGAAAACATCTTTCTTGCTCTTCATGCAATCTTAACTGCAAATTTGCATCTGTCAAGCTTCATATATATGATAAATAATTCTAGCTCTTTGCTGCCCAACCAAAAACATAAAACATAGATGACTACAACATAAACAATAAAAAACAAGAGGTGAAATTTGTACCTCCACATGTTTCAGATACTCCGGAACATCTGACTGCTGCATATATTTCACACTTTCAGCAGCATAAAAGTCAGAAGTGCCTTTAAGAAAAGGTTTCTCAAATTTGTCTGCATAAATTCCTAGCGCAGTAAACATCTTCAAAAGATGATTAAGCAATGCCTTATTTATAGCTTCACCAAGCCTGGTCCAAAGAAAATACAATCCGTGTTAAATACTAATTAAAAATATTTTTAAAAATCAAGAAAATTTAAGTATGAGAAAAAACATCAATAAATAATTCAATAGAGATACCAACCATCTTGTTAGAAAAATATCTAAATGCTACTAATTATGGAAGTATAGGCAAGGTTTTAAATATCGGATATCGGGGAAATATCGGATGGCCAAAATTCATATCGGATTGCGGATATCGGGAAAATATCGGGAATACGTGGTAAATATCGGAATGCCATAATGAATGTTTGCATACATAGTATAATGCATTAAAATGTAATCTCGACATATGTAATAAAATTTAAGCATACAAAATATGAATAATATATGTTTAGGATCACTAATCAACCTTCTAAAACAAACAAAAGTGCAAAGCAACGTTGCAACATTCGATCTGCTTTTATAGGGCAAAATGTCATTTGATATAATGGGGAAATCTTGATATCTCGCCCAAAAACTCCAAACACGGTATATTATTTTGCAACAAGATATATAAAAAGATATATTGGTCCACATATCGGCTAATATATAGGCCATATTGGGGATTTATCACTCAAAATAGCCAAAAAAGCGGTAAAGGGTATTTAAAGACCATATCGGTTGCGGCAAGCCCTATAAAAGGATATATCGGGGGATATATCGGGCCATGTCGGGGATATTTAAAACAATGAGTATAGGTATATGGAAGAAGTGAAGAACAGATAGTTCACTACATTAATACATCCATATAAGTACTACCCCCAAATGAAACCGGTTTCTTTGTATTAATTGTGAAGTAATGAGCACAGGAAATCATATGCATCAAGTTAACAAATATTAAGCATATGTTATGGAGATTAAGAGTTATCATACATAGTTATGTGAATTCTATTGCATCATAAACTATATGAAGACAATTTATCTGTGTATTAATCATGACTCGTAAGCACAGGAAATCATGTGTCAAGGTAACAAATGATCTAACTATGTGAAGGGGATTAAGAGTTATCACACATAGTTCTCTGCATACTTATGTGAATCTACTGTGTTATCAACTATATGCAGAATTCATCTGTAACTTGACACATCCTGATATCAGATGAAGATAATACAATGAAGCGCAAAAATAAGAATATGGCTTTTTCCCCCATTCAGCTCCTATAAGAGTAATTTACTCATCTAAATTTACTGATATCACCTTTAACTAGCAAACTGAATGCCAACGCATGTCATTTAGTTCCTTGATGTATTCTGGATATAAACAAGAGAAGAAAACTAAAGCTTTGAAAGTGTTGATTTTACTATTAGATTATTAGTTGACCTCTACAGCCATCAGCATTTAAGTGCAACATTGACTCACTGGTGCAACTTGTTTGTGTCAGCAGCTACGAAATAAGATCTAAATATAGTCCAAACTATGATTTCATCCTTTAGAATTACAATATATTTTAGAGCTACATGCCCCAAGGAAAACTATAAACACATTATTATCCAACTCCCAAATGTCTGCAAAGGAATTAAACTTGAAGAAGAACAATGAAGGTCATCAACAACCTTAATTTATTAATGGTAAAATAATCAGTTCTCTTTGCCAACATCAATATATATAGTTGTTATTGCAGCCCAACCATTGTTACAATCTATGTTGCATGGATATGGGTGTGGGTACGGGTACGGGAACAGGACATGACAACATGTAAAAGTAGGATATATGAAGTTATGAACATGACTAAATGTGAGTTTGTGTGTCTGTGTACATAAGTGTATATATTTAAATCCAACAATATTGTTTTTCCATTCACATGATATGAAATTAAAATTCCTATAACATTTTTTATGTTTGTTTTAGTACGTAGATTACAAATTGGCAATCACTCATTTTTAAACTAAATACCCAAACGACCCTTTACAATCATAGTTTTGAACTGAGTATGGGCTGAAATGAACCATTTAAGCACAATTTTCTTATTTTCAGCTTCAACTCAACTACCCTTTGGTTACTGTAAAAACGAACAGTTCCGATAGCATATAGATATTGCAAATGAAGTCACAAGATCTTAAATCTACAATTACCCCATGCTATGTGGTCTAATATTGAAGGCAAAGAATACGTGTTGAAAAAGAATCAATTATATGTAGAGGCACATAAAAAGTCAGACTGCCAAAACATTTCTATTTATGTATAGCAGTTCAAAGAGAGCCAAATGTGCAACTTCAGCGTACCTCTCCCTCTCAATCAACCTTAGAAGGCCTGTGACAATTTTGTGCAACACTTCTTTATTGTTGGAGAGATGTTTTTCGAACAGCTTCAACCCCATCTCCCACAATGAGTCAACACCATTGGTTTGTTTCACGTATGTTCTATCGAGGTATAAGGCTATGCTACGAATAATCAACATCTGGTCTGAGAAATCCTGCCAGCATTTCACTACCAATGATAAGAATACCACGAGATCAGGGCTCTGCCCAACTAACGACATCAGTGCTGCAGAGATGTGCACTTCACATTCTGTCTGAATGCGTTGGTAAAGGTTTCCTCCCATCTTGTGGATGCAAAGATCATTGACAGCCTGTAACAGAAGAATTTAAGTCCCTAAAAAAATAATAATTAAAAACTTTATAGCTTAAGAAACAAATTTGCATCATGAATACCTGATAAAGCTTCTCAGAGTCACAGGGATCTGGTTTCTTCAAAAATATAGCTGTGATAGCGGACTTCAGTGTTGCCCACGTATCTTCTTCAAAACTTGGTGGTAATTTAGGCTTATCTAAGTCATATTAGAATAAAATTGAGTTAGTAGCACAACATTAGAAATAAATAAGCCTCAAGAGTTTCCTTCCACACTGAAAACCAAAGAGCTCAGAAGGTATAGCTTTTATGATTTTCAACTTTTACATAGATTAATTTTCTTGTTTAGTTGCCAAAAAAAGGTAACATGAGAGTGAAAAGTAAAGGAGTTTCTAGAAGCAGCCACTCCTATAAATGGGAGAGCCCCCGGATTGAGAAAGATTGACTGCCCTTATACCTCCAATAGCGAAGAAAGAAAGGTAACATGACAAAAAAAATTGCAATATGAGCAGTGGCTGTTCTTACTGAATTAAATGATAAATTGAACTTATGGAAGATTGCACAGGATATCCAGTTACAAAGTCTGATGACAAAGAAGACAAAAAATATATATTTTACAAAAATGTAGAAAAAAGAACTCCTAAGAAAAAAAAGAATAATGCAGACATGATATTCTCAGTACGGTACTTATTGAATTCCTACTTCTAGCGAAATCGTCTATTTTTCCTTTTCAAGCAATCAAAGGAATATTTGATCCTTCAATGGAGCAGGATCCTAACGAGAATTAAATATTACCGATAAATCCTAAGTAGGAAATGGTATTCAATCTAGGGAAACATGTTACCCAGCTGGAGGAAACTGTTCTTATTCTTTTACTTGATCTTCACAAATGTATAGGCAGCTATGTTACCCGGGTACTTCTATAATGAAGCCGTACCCATACTGGACACGTACCAACACTTTCCCATACCCAAACTTCATGGACACTTCTTGAATATATGCTTGCATTTATTACAACATGCAATCAAATTATACGATATACATGTTAATTTAAAACACTTGTCAAACACTTCTTCAAGGTATAGCTTACACTTCACATCCGTTTCTTAAAACTAGTTAGATATGGGTCCAGTTTCGTTTCAGTCCATACACAAGTTCAAAACTATATAGTTAAAGGGTCGTTTGGATGTCCAGTAAAAAAATACGTAGCTTCCAATTTATGATAATCAATATGATAAAAGAAACTTAAAATGTGATTGGAAGTTTAATTCTAATGACACATGATGTGGGAAAAAAATGATCTCATGTACATTATTAATTCTCTCTCTCTCTCTCTATATATATATATAAAAACACCTAATTTTCAAATTTTCAAATTTTCAAATTTATATAGCAAAATCGATCTGTTCTGAAAAAAATTAGCAAAACCGATCCTTTTCAGATGAAAATGGTCGGTTTTGCTGATTTTTTTTTCAAAAAGATCGATTTTGCTATATAAATTTGAAAAATGGGTGTTTCAAAAAATTGTCCTAGTGTAAAATACTATCGGTTATATATCCATTAGCAAATAAACATGGCTATTAAATATTTATATTAAATTGGATATTTATGAATACCGATATATAATAAAATATGAAAATATTTGAATATAGATTGATCATACAGTTGTAATAGTTTTAATATCTTTAGATTAATAAACTTAAAGTTAATTTGATAATCAAGATATATCCAATAGTCTTAACTCGTCGGGTACAACAAATATATTAATTAACTCTCTTGTATTGAATGACCTATATAGGTTTATATTTTATTTTTTTATATTTATTTTCTATCTGCATATATATATATATATATATATATATCCGTACATGTATCAGATTTTAACGATCTGTGTACTATGATATACAGTGGTCTGTATTGTTATCCATATATATATATATATATATATATATATATCCGTGTCCCCGTACCCTATATTTTACAGTTTTGTTGTGTCTCATACCTGTACCCGCACCCATACTAGTATCCGTACCTATTTCCATGCAACTTAGATAGGCAGCGTAACCTATATTTTTTATTATTACGATCCAATAGTTTGTCTCTGTTTAGATCATTAAGGAACTAGCATAAGATATTTTCAAGCTGAATGGAATTAATCTTGGAAATATTAAGTTGATTCTAACATCAGATTAACCCTGCTGAAACTCTAACATAACAATATACACCAAGTGACTAAGTCTCCATGTCACTCCCTAGGCCCACAAGCCCATCGGCTTGATGTAATCCCCACGACCCACTACGTGCAACATGTGATTAGGCTCAATCCACTGTCAACAATGACTAGCTAACGTTGCAACTTGAGATACCACCACATTATCCAATGTGGGACTATATTTTGGGCTATCACAACCACCCATGCGACGTCCTCATCGCGGCATGATGAATGGTTCGTCCTGAAATCACTACTAGGCAACGTGGATTTTAGAGGTGGATCACATCTCGCTCACGCAGTGTAGCACTTAGTCCCTAATAGCACTTAGTATCACAATTATGGCTAACAATCTAGCTCTGATACTATTTGTAACACCTAGGGCTTACATTGCCAACGGACTAATGGGCCCAACGTGTGACAGTTTCTTCAGAACTAGTCCTACATTTCATTTCATGTCTCATTCGTATATTGCTTTCTACAGTTACCAGAAGCTCAAATGTCTTGTGAAGACGAAGTAATTTCAAGGAGTACACCAATAAAGACCCCAGTACTAGAGTCCCCTTGCTCTAGCCGATCAATCTGCCTTACTTCAAACATGGAACCAACTTTGTCCCCTAGTCAACAATGTGGGCTATTGAATGGACATGCAACAATCCTGGCAGACTCTGAGAACTGTCTAGTTCCAAGGGATGTTTGCTTAGAAGATGTTGCCGACAATATGAGGCTAGCTCTCTGGGTATACCCTGTCACTAGTGGAGAAGTGACACTATTCTTGACCTATGGGGACTTTAATGCCATCCCGCGAGGGCTTCGTGAGGGCTGCCAAAGGACTGGCATAAAACTTGTGGAAGTCCCAAATGGACAAAAGGATGTAGTTGACAAGGCTATCGAGGTTGATATGTTCTCGTTTGCACTAGACAATCATGCATATTCCTTAATATTGATGATATCTGGCGATATCGACTTTGCACCAGCCCTTCATATCCTTGGCCAATATTGGTACAATGTCACTCTCATCTCATGTAAGGTTGGTGTCTTGTTGGCTTTAAGCAATGTTGAGAGGTTTGTCTTGGATTGGTCTAGTATGTGATGTGAAACGGGACATGGGGTCTATCAGAATCAGCGATTTAAATCGAATAATGCATCGTTTCACCAAATTCCATGATCTTTGGCAGAAAATTAAATTCAAAACAACTAATGTGACAAATGGATTTAACGAAATTTGCATCAATAGTTATGATTAATTCCAATCTTGATCAATTTAGCTACAATATTCATTATCATGCTCAAGTTCTACTATCAATATCAAATTTAAACAATCATATGCTCAATTACTCTCAATTCACAAATATAATAGCAGTGAACATATGATAAGAGTTTAGAGATGAAATACTCATGTAATTAACTAATAAAACGAGATTAACAGAAAAATAATTTATTGGGCTATCAAGTGGTGACGGTCGACGGATGAACTGACGACGACAACAGCGTCGAACTGGCAACGGCGACGACGAATTGAACGACGACAACAATAGCGAATTGAGCGACGACAATGTGTGCGGGCGACAGGACGATGCGACGTCGGGCTGGACGTCGGGCTGGACGATGCGATCAGCTGTAGGATCGGTGGCGGCTGCCCGAGTTGAAAGAAGGCAGGGGAATTCGCCGGTGAGGGCTGCTCGAGTTGAGGGTGAGCAGGGGAGAGATCGTCAGTGGGACTGTTCGGATTGAAGGAGAGCAGGAGAGGGATCGAGTGGTTGTCGGGAAAGGAGGCCTGTTGGGTCGAGGCTAGTGGGCGTCAGGGTTATACAAGCGACGACGACGATGGACGCGACAAGAGGAGGTGAGGGCTGGGCGCGATTGTTGTTGGAGACGCGGAGGCTGCTCGACTTGCGAGAGAGCAGGGATGGGTGGGGATGTCGGCGCTATGGAGGAAGAGGAGAGCGAGGGTGTTAGCATTTGTTCTGGGAGCGACGCGAGATGGAGTGGGGGCTGACGAAAATTGAAGGGCAGTTGTCTGTTGGGCAAAGAAAACAGGGGATTGTCGCCTGTAGTGGCAGAGGAGAAAAAGTTGGCCTAGGTTTCACACCCGAGGCTTCACACCAACATTCGGTTTCACACAAAAAAAAATTAGCTCACAAATAATTCATCAATTCTTCATTATTTTTCATTCTGATTACAGCAGTGCTTTTATAGAGCAATTATAAAATCTCTCAAAATCAATCAGATTCCTAAAATCACTCAGATACTAAAAACTGATTAACTACTAAACTTGACCCAAAATTCAAATTTTAAAATTCAAAATTCAAAAATTAAAATCCTACCAAAATAGAAAAATCCCTCAAATTTCTCACAATTAAAAAAATTAAAATCCTACCAAAATAGAAAAATCCCTCAAATTTCTCACAATTAAAACTAAATTAAGATCTGATCAAACTTGCCAAAAAATAGAAAAATCCCTCAAATTTCTCACAATTAAAACTAAATTAAGATCTGATCAAACTTGCCAAATCTTATTCGAAACTAAAATAAAAGAAAGTCAAATAACAAATATGGAAATTACCATTATTGTCCTCATCAGTATGGCTCGTGGTGAAGGGTTTGTTCCCTCAAGTACCTACATCTCCATGGGCTTGACCTTGTTGTCCATCCCTTGAGGTGCAACTTTGAGGATAGCCAGAATGAACTCTTCGGAAGAGACACTATTATTATCAGAGGAATTTCACAGAGAAGCTAGATCTACTGCAATTATTGGTTCACGAATATGATGGACCATTTGAATCTCAGATGTCTTCTTCATATCTGAGAGCTTACCCTTTGCATCAAAAGAAATTCTAGTGGATCATCAAAATGTGCTGAAGATATCTAAGATTTAAAGGGCTAACCCCTGAGGATATGTGAGATATCTGAAGGAACTTCGCCTCTTTTCCGAGTTCCAATTGAACATATCACGAGCTTTGGGCATCCAACTTTAAGTGTTGGGGTAT